AAATTTTAAAGTTAAAAGCTACAATTAATGGCATAGTAACATATTGGATATCTAAATTCTATCCACTAGGTGTATTANGCACTACATACTAAATTTTGTTCGAATAAGGGTCAACTCAATTTTTTCCATCAAAACGAAAGCTACAAATTTTTTCCTTTCACAAGAAATTTTAAAGTTAAAAGCTAAAATTAATGGCATAGTAACATATTGGATATCTAAATTCTATNATATCTCAATTCTATCGACTAGGTGTATGGTGTCAAGTTAGCACTACATACCATTTTTTCTTAAAAAACGAAAGCTACAAATTTTTTCTTTCCACAACAAATGTATAACAAAAAAGCTGCAGTTAATTCCGTTGTAACCTTTTCAATATCTCAATACTGTCGTCAATGGTGCATGGTGTCAAGTTTGCACTACATACTAAATTTTGTTCGAATAAGGGTCAACTCAATTTTTTCCAGCAAAACGAAAGCTACAAATTTTTTCCTTTCACAAGAGATTTTAAAGTTAAAAGCTAAAATTAATGGCATAGTAACATATTGGATATCTAAATTCTATCCACTAGGTGTATGGTGTCAAGTTAGCACTACATACCATTTTTTCTTAAAAAATGAGAGCTACAAATTTTTTCTTTCCACAACAAAAACACTACAATTAGTGCTAACTTGACACACGTTCTCATTTGGCGATGTAGATCACGTCTCCTGTCTCAGTCGTTCAGTAGCTGCGTGTCCCTTTTACTCTTCCTGTCGTCCGGCACGAAGCGCCAATCGCGACTGTGCAAGCCAATGTTTAATATTCTGATGGCGGCATAATCTCCCCAGAACACTAAAAGTGCAATATCAAAGAATCCGAATTACCATATTCGAAGCAATCGAGCCATAAACGCGAAAGAAACGTAAGCTACAAAATGTTTTTAATTGTCGTTTTTTAATCACAATTCCACAATTTTTCTACAAACAAATAGCTTTTTCATATCCATCTAATGTACATGGTACCGCACAGAATTTACAAGGCAGACAAACAGTAAAAAAATAGCTCAAAAGGGACCATCCATTCTTTAGTTATGCGCCGTGCAACTTTGGTATATTCATGGCAAAATTTATTTTTAATAACATAATAATTTAAATAATTAAATAAAATTCGTTTTTGTATTAAAATACCACAATGCACACATTATCCATGCCATTTGTAGAATTTCGCTACCATTTAGGAAGT